AAACAGAATGAAAAATATATGAGGAGGAAGAGCAGGCACAAGAACAGAAATAAATGATGCTAAAAGGGACTTTCTTGCTACAATCTGTGCTGATTTTAATGTAAAGTAGAGATGTAAAGAGAAATGTCAGAATCTACAAGAACAAAGGTCTAGTTTTTTTTWAAAAAATGGGKTTTTTTKGGGGGTCTTTCTCTTGCCAGATTTGAATATCCAAGCCAACGTTAAGGAGCAAAAATTGTCACTAACATATTTCTGAAAGAGCATGAGTCTCATATCAGTCCCAAAATTACCAGGACCTATGAAGATCAGCGTCACCAAGTTCTTTTAATGGAAGTGATAGTGCAAGTCATGGTGAATCGAGCTCATCAGCAGCTACAGAGGGGTGCATAAATYCGCTAAGGAGAGTGAATTAGTTCTGTGCTGTCATTATGTTGGCATAATCAGAATTCAACCATTTCCCCTTGGCAGTGAAGCATGGTCCTACACACAGCTATGTTTCCACACTGCACTAATAATCCTGGCTATAATTCTTGGTCCCTCCATCCCTTTCTTTCTCACCTGAATTCAAAGGGTGACAKGGGCACTGCAGATAGAAAGTGGAAGGTGAGGACTAAGCAGCATGTTCTGAATTCGGGTAAAGCTTGTCCTAGGTTTCTCTTCTGCAGGTCCTGCCATCCCTTGCTGCTCCTGAGGCTGCGTCCTGCAGCAAGGGGTAGGCTGGGTATGTGAGTTGCAGCAGTGTCAGCAGCAGGCAGCCAASAGCAGGGTGCCACAGAGCACATAAATCCAGAGGAGAAGGAAGGTTGGCACCACCGTTGTCCTTGCAAAAGGGCAGGACAAGGTGGTGCAAAGGCTGCACCACCGCCTTTGTACTTCATCCAGCAAGCTTCAAATAATCCCTGCTCCCAGAGACAAAGGAGAAAAGGGGGAAACATTTCTTGGTGTTCTTCCCTAGTTCAAGGCAAGCCATGGCAAACAGGCCATCCTCAAGCTTAACCAACTTCTGGTCTTCACAGAAGGTGCTCTGTGCCTTGCTCTGTTAATTCCTTCAAATGACTAAAAGTGTTCAATAAAACAATATTTAAGCATGGCAAGGGTCTGTCAGGACACTACAATTCAAGGGAGCATTTGCTTCCTGCACCCATCCCTGCTGCCTATAGAATCACTTAAAAGCAATGCTTAGTGTGCAGAAGCTACTTCACTTGCAAATCCCTGCACTGGAAAGGGTCTCACAGGCCCCTTCCACTGACAGAACAGTATTCAAATAATTCATATAGGAACTTCCCTGTTGGCTGCTGGAGTGTCTGTGTGGAGACCCATCTGCTCAGTGGGTTTCCTGCTGCAAACTGGCCACTGCTGCAGAACAAAAWCAAGAAAACATTGAAGAACCTAATAGGGTACACTTATTAATAAATGATGGTTTACCTATTCATATGCTTCTTCTTGGGAAGGTTTGAAACAAAGCCATGTGCTCTAGCTTTTTATTTTTCAAATAATGTCATCTCCTGCTGTGTACACTGCAGTTCCACTTCTTGAAAGCAAGTGGCAAAACTGAGAGGAAGATAAAAAGGGAAACTTCCATCACCCTCATTTCATATAAGAATAAAATAAAAATAAAGAAAGCATGAGCTTTTGCACTTACAGGACAGAGACTTAAAGGTGTAGATTTTGCCCTTCTGTTTAACTTCAGGCATGTCACCTCTCTTTTTTTCTGCTATGAGATGCAGCAGTGAAATGCATGTGCATGAACCTTGTCCCTAGGTCCCTTCTGGGTGCTCTGTGCTGTGGGTCCCTTCGCAGCAGTCAATTTTACCACACTTCAAGGTGCCTAAATAATTATGCCTTGTGGTGCAGCTTCTTGTTCCTCTTGATGAGCAGCCTGAAATGGGTGAAAGACCGACTGCATGAAGCTGTTTTTTAAAGAGGTGGAGAGCCCATATCAAAACTGCAGATGGAGTGGCCTCTTCTGGAAATGCTGGATGGTGCCAAGAATTTTGAAGGCTTTGTTGTGTGAGTCTGGGTTTGTGCAAGTTCAGAAAGTGAGTGTGGATGATGGGCTCGGCAGTCTAAAGGTTTARATGAATTTTTCATTCATAACCTACTTTAATGCAGCAACTGAGTCCAGAGTCTTGTAAGAAAGATAAATAACAGATTAGTCAAACCTCAGAATTTTAACTTAGATGAAAATAATATGGTTCAAATACACCCTGGGGAGGAATTCTTGACAATAGCAAGGATGCCAGAACAATATTAGTATAGCACAAAGGAACATACTGGCATGTGGTAATTTTAAGAGCCAGAACTACCTCCTTTTAAACAAGCTGAAATGCAAATGTGAAGCCTATTTTTCCTTCTTGCTCTGTTCTCTTGACAACAACTTCCATAACCCAGCCACTGAATTGTCACCACAAAAATATGTCGATACATTTGCAGTGGTTGAGGTGACCATGCTGACCATCATGTGTATGTAWGTGCCTTTTTTAAGTACTCCTCAGGCCAGTGTTTCAGTGGACTAATGCAATCCCACTGACTACCAGAAGCCAAGGGTTTTGCCCAGAGAATAAGCTTGGCATCACACAGAAGGAGTCTAGTCATAGGCAAGGCAATGATATGCCTGACCTTAGCTTGTCAAGAAACAAAGTGGGTTTGGAAAAGTAGAACATTTCCTAATCTAGCACATCTCCATGGAAAGAACAGCAACCTGATTTCCATAATTTGCTTGACCTGTCTGATTAAAAGTTCAACCTGAACATAGCTCAGAGTGCTTTCAGGATCTCCTCTAGCAATGAGGAGGAACTACACATTATTTCCTTCATTCTTCTCCAAAGAAATGAAAATAAAAATCTGTTTTGCATAGAAATAGGATGCAATTCCCTCTCTGTAGCAGTTTTGCTCTTTTAAATATTGCAGTGAAAAGAATGTTCTTTTTATTGACATTAGAAGAAAATGGTTTATTTTTATTTCTTYTCCATTTTTATCTACTTAACAAATTACAAAGTGCTCAAAAAAAAAAAGTAATTTATTTTGTTTTATTTCAGTTTTCTTCAACCAAAAGTCCATTGAACATATCCCTTTCAGACTTACCATGATCTGTTTAAACATATCCCTTTTCACCCGTGTGCTCTGAGAGAGGGACTGAAGGGTTCACACTTCTCTGCGTAACATGCGTTAACACAAAACAAAAACACAACACACAAAAGAAGAACAGTGCATGAAAACTAGTGGTTGTTATTGTTGTGTTATTTTCAACTGTATTTCAAATATACTTTCAAATACACTTCACACTTTTCCTCTGTATTTCAAAATTCACCAACAAGAAAAGGCGGCATCCTTAATTCATCCTCTGTCACTGTGGTCCAGTTTATGAAGTGGTCCACTGCATGGTGCTGAATCTGAATTTGATGCGGTACTTCAGTTGCCCTTGTATTATTAGCATTAGCTCCCCCGTCAGARCCCTTTTTCCAGGGCAACAAGTGTCCCCTTCCCACAACACGCATTTCAGTGAAATAGGGGAGCAGAAAAGCACGATGCCAACACATTACTCAGCAAAGATACATTTACTGCCCCATCTCAGCTAACATCAGTGGCATGCCTTTGGATTTGTTGGATGTAGCTCATAATAGAATTGCTCCCAAGGGCAAGCTTACCAGTACAACATGAGAGTGGATTTAATTGCATAACTTGCAAGTGTTCGTAGGAGTGGCTGATATATGTTCTCCGTGTGTATGTAGGAGTATCGATGTCTGGATCCTGTGTGACAGGATATTTCAAAACCAGCTGCAGTAATATAAACAACAATACGGGGTCACTGAAAAGAACAACAAAAAAAAAAGGCTGCAAGTGAATGAGTAAACTATACRACAGATGTCATCCCACATATTATTTAAACCAAGCTGGAAGACTGACAGACGATTTAAGATGGAATCATTGCATTTCCCATCACTGTGAGCCCACCCTGAGTTCCCACAACTGCTTCATTTGGGATAATGCAAGGAAAGCATGTCTTCTGACCACAGGGATTACCTGAATTACGTAATGTTCTGTGAATTTTMTGTCCAAGAGAAAACCTCTTTCCTGGAGGAGGCAGAGCAGAGCAAGAACTCACTCCTACATGGCACCATGAGATGAGGATATTGCACCTGTATGGAAAGGGGAGCAGGAGGTGGAAGGGCTTGARGAAGCAGAGTTTGAGGTTAGCTGAGTGGGACTTGCCACTGCCTTTAGAAGGAATCTACAATAAGTGACATATACTGGAGCTGAAACCAGTATGGAAGAGGAGATTGTATGGAGGGGGAGAGCAAGCAGCCCAGATGGGACAAAAAGGGGCAGGCACATGGGAGCCAGCAGGGCAGAAGGGTGACCTCCGGAGCACCCTCCTCCAAAATGATGGAATTTCCCAATTCCTCTATTGTCAGCATGTGATTACAAAACCAAAATTACAGCCTGCAAAATGCACTTCTGCTCCTCGCAGAGGGACAACAGCAGGATGCTGCTGCTGCCGTCAGCTCTCCAGTGCTTGGTGGCTCCAAGATCATACAAAAAGATATATGCAGAGGTTACTAGTGAAGCATGCATAAAAGCAGAGCCAATGCATGAAATAACAAGTGCCTTCATGATAATAATTCAGTCTTCCATTCCCCACCCGCTTCCTTCCCTGCCTGCGAGACACCCAAGGTCGCCATCCACACATTTCACATGTTGCTTTGTCACTTTGGGGCATCCAGTGTTGCTGTTGCAGTGTTTCCGTGTGCAATGCATGCAAGAAGAGCATATACACCTTTTCCCTTCCACGCACGCTTGCTCTTGAAGACCCACCTCTGCAGCAGCCTCTTGGAGCAGCCCACAAACTGCTGCGCTCCCACTCCACAGCGCTCCCCATGCCGAGCTCCTGTCCTGACCCGGCGCTCCATAGGAGGAGCAAACGAGCCGAGACGTCAATGCAAGGGGAAAAAAAAAAATAAAATAAATTATAGCGGTGTGAGCTCTCCCTGCGCTCTGCCGCTCGGGGAGCGCACACATGGCTCGTGTGACAGCAGCGGCGCACAGAAGCTGCAGTGAGATGCAGCGAGCAATACAGCTGGGAGACAGGCAGCGAGGCAGGCACCCGGCCAGGGACTGAAATGATCCTCCCGCGAGCCGGTCTGCAGTGCCTCTGAAAAGTGGCCGGCTACTGCGCAGGAGCTCAGCTTCCTCTGCAATTACTCTGTGGTGTAACTGAGTTCCCCTCCGTGACTGCAGCCTCTGTGCTGCTTTCCTCTTTTTTTTTTTTTTTCCCTCCTGTCTGCTTCTCTCTCCTTCTCGTGTCCTTTTCTCCAGGATGGCGGAAGCAGAATTGCACAAGGAAAGGCTCCAAGCCATAGCAGTAAGTCAGTTTTCATTTTATTTGCTCTTTTGTCTATGCAGCTGGGGGAGCTGCGAGTTGCTGGAGCAAGGGGGGATTCCAGCACAGTGGCTGGAAAGCGTTTGGGAAACATGGGCTTTTGAGAAGTTCTGCATGGAGTTTTCCTTTGGGGAATGACTGGTTAAAGTCTGTTTTGAAGGATTTGGCTGAGAATGAGGGTTCTGAAGAAGTGCATTGAGCTGACACGTGCTGGAAAAGAAAAAATGTGAATGCACAGTGGCGTACTTAAAAGACAGATGATGGGGAAGAAAAGGAGAAATAAATAGGGAGGAGGGGAGATTGCAGAAGAAAATCGGTGCTCTGCTAAAAAAGATGTTTTCACACTGTGGGACTTTTAGCTAAGCCGATTAAGAAGTTAAACCAAAATGATCTGCTGCAGAGTGGCTTTYACTGCAGAATATAATTCCAATAGTATTAGTTGCTAACACAATCAAATAAAAAACATCCGTTATAGGAACTGCYTGATTATTTCATCTATTAGTATTARACTGTCACCTGAGCTCCACAGCAGAGCAAATGCTCTGAGAAAAATCCCTTGCTCAGTTACATCCTGCTGAGGGGTAAAGCTTAGGCAGAAWTTTTCCCCCTCTAAGCTAAAACATTTATTTTCACATTTACTGATAAATCCAATTCGGGGTGAGCGCCAGATTTTCCTCCTTGGAGGACAACGGTGCTGCGTGAGGATGGSTCCTCGGCGTTTAAAGAGCACGCTAATCGCGACACACAGAAAACGCCAGCTCATCGGATAAGGCAAACACGTCACGTGAGAAGCGCAGTGTTTCTGTGAGCGCTGCTCATCTGCTAAGCCCACACAGCCGGCCCTTGTTCCGAGCGGCACGCAGCCCCTTTCCGCGGCGGGGACGTCGGTGCAGCTGTGTCCCGGCGGATGGTACGGAACGTGCCCGCGGCCAGGCCGCTCACACCCCGCGTGGAAGGGCAGGGAACGGCAGAACTCGCCGCCGTTTTCAGATCCCCTGCCCCGGGATCACCAGTGATCAACAGATGTTGCCTTTTACTACAGCTGACACAGGCTATAGATCTCCTTTGTACTTGGAGGAATGGCTGCTGCTGTGCCAAGTTGTTTTCCTAAAGTCTGTCATTCTGCTAATAGGCCCATGGAGATTCAAAATAACCAGCGTTAAACTAAATACATTTTTTTTTCTACCTAAAATATTTCCTGAGTAAGATCAAATGATATCATTGGTTATGGAAGGAAAATATTATGGCCAATATTCAAGCAGTGGAAAATAGCCGCTTTAAGAAAGCTCCCTGGTAGTTTTCTGCYAGCCTAGGCATTACTAATTCTGAGCATTAAAACATTAGTAACGTTCCTCTTGAGCTAATTCTCACAACTGTCTCTGACTTGCAAGTTCTGTGCCAAGATACATGGAAGAATTAAACTGCAGTGTATTCTGGAAGTGCTAAATGTATTACCATGATGCATGAGTCGGAAAAAAAATTGTCTTCTAATTAAAAAAAAATATGATTTTCTTTCTTTGTCTGTTATATAACTAACACAAAACCAACTGGCATTCATGTCCCCTGCACATGCAGTACTTCGACTGTGTACCAAAGAGACTCGGGTTGTATGCATCTTGGTGCTTTGCATTTCACATCAATGAGGCCATAACACATATGAGGTTACTATCTGCTATGTAGCCTTTTACACTAAGTTTATGCCTTTTTTTTTTTTTTTTTTTTTTTGAGGAATCTAGACCTTCTACATATATTCCATTGTGGGTTCTACTTCTGTGAAGCCTACTAGGTTGACTATAAATAAAATATAGTGTAGTAATACATACAATTAATTTGATTTCAGGAGTGAACTGTAATGTCAGGAGGAGCCTTGTTTTAAGATCAAATCTGAGTCCAAATACTGATTTGCTTGCTTATATGTTCTGCAAAGCAACAAGTTGGCCATACAAGTTTCTGAGGTTGCTCTTCTCACTTGGWGTACTGCAAAAGTTTATCAGGTTCTGAAAAGCGTGCTTCTAATGTAAACTTTGCTCCACCAGGATGAATCACATGGCGTGAGTTGGATGGTGTTTCTCAGTTACTTAAAATTAAGGTCAAACCTTGTTCTCTTAGGCATGGTAAAGGTAGTATTTCAGTTCAGCTTGGTGTTCCCTGTAGGAAATTAGTGGGGGAAAAAAAGCTTTAACTAGACTGTAGCATCTTAGTAAACAAAGGAGAAGCTTACTGCAGCAGTCTGATCAGTCTTGCTGAATGCTAAGCATGTAGGAATAATCTCCTATCTGTGGTCATTGATACTTCTCCATACAGTTGCTTGTACTGGTGCTGTTATAATTGTAATTGCCATGGGAAAAGATCTGGTCAGGAAAAGAAGCAGGGTAAATTTTGAAAATAAAATCCAGACATAGAAATCTGAGTATTTGCTGCAGAAGACTGACACTTTTCTATGAGATCTGTACTTTCTTATTCTAGCTAACCACAATTTTAAATGTATACTTCTCTGGAAGAGAGAGAGTGTAATGAGAAGAGGGAAAAGAAAAAGGGACCTAACTGTTAGGACATTAATCAAAAACGTGGTGAACATGAGTTAGTCACTTGTTTTGCCAGTAGCAAGTACTCAGCCTCTCTGTGCATTCATCTTCCATCTGTAAACTGAGTAACGGACTTTGCCCTTGTCTTAGAGAGCTGCTAGTGATTCATGAAAGACTGTGGAGCACTTGGATGCTATTTTTTCCAGTGTTTACACAGCTAAATAAACCATTAAAAATAGAGTGTACAATTCTGATAAAATACAGGTTTTAAATGTATATTTTTAATACCATGGCAGGTGCCTAGTCATGATTTTTAGATCTGTTTCAGAGGCTTCTAAAATTCCTTAGAGCAACTTGAGGATGCTACAGTAGTTCTTAGAAACAGAGAGATGTGAGGAAATGACCAGTGAAGTAATTTCTCAGTTCTCTCCATTTATGAGGAAAAATGTAAAGTTTGTGGCATGGGGAATCCCATGCCTGCCTTTTTTTTAAAAAAAAAAAAAAAAAAAAAAAAAAAAAAAGCTTTGCTTTAGCACAGGTCACACCAGAGCTCCAGAGCTCCCATCTTGAGTGCTGTGCATGCTACAGACAGATACTGATAAGCCCTTCCGTCATCCCGCGCTGTTCCTAAAACCTGTGTCTGAGCCTTACCTTAAATAACCACAGTGCTGATCTGCTCTTCCCCATGGATGGAGCAGAGTGGTGCCCATCTGTGTGCAAGAGGCCAGCGGGATGTGAAAGCAAGAGGTGGGAAAGGTGGGCTTCCCTCCCCAAGCCTTTGCTAGAGAAGAGTCTGTGCTTGCCCTCTCCTTCGAGRGGAAAATGGGTAAAATGGTGTGTGGAAAAAAAAAAAAAAAGAAGAAAAGAAAAGAAAAAAGGAAACATTTCTGCATTTCTGTGGCTTTTAAAAAAAAAAATGCCTGCCCTAAGTCTCTCAGAAGTCTGGAATGCCAATAGTCCCTGAGGAAGCAGAGTTAGTGGCTACAGAACAGGTGAGCTGAGCAATTTTTCACACTTTGGGTAAATAAACTGCACGGCTCTGCAATTTATTAAATGGCTCCATTCTCTTTGACTCCAGATATCACCATCGGACAGCAGTATAAATATAGCCAAGCATTTATGAAATGTAGTTTTTTTGTCTGAGGCCTGCCTAGCAAGCAGCTATAAATCTGGGAAGTGGGGACATTGAATATGTATCAATGTATCTGGGGTACAAATATKCATGTGATACAGTGAATGTGTTTCATATGCATATAAAGTGAATTAAAGGCCATCACTGACACACTTCAGTTAGAAGGAATCTTCCAGTAGGACAACAACTAAGGAACAGAATAAGTTGTTTAAGTTAATCAGATGCCAACCTTTAGGTGGAAATGGGAAGCTGCTAAAATGTAGCATGTTCTTTACAATTAAAAACAACAATATTGTTGGTTAGCATTTATCCATGCCCAGGTCACAGATCCATTAGTGTATTAAAGTATTAGAGGAAAGTAGTCATTGACATTCAAGCAGCGATGTGGAAGAAAGCTTTCGTCGAGCAAGAACATTCTTGCTTTTTCTATGGGATTGCAAGTTTATTTGTTAAGCTCCACCATGTGGACCTAACATTACTTAAAAGTCATCAGGTGCTTGACTGAGTATTCCAGAATGTTCTGGTTTAAAAATAGCGCTCTGCACTTCCAGTGGTGTATACCTTAGATGGACRAAATCTGAGTGACAGATCTCAGCAAGTTGTTGTTAGTGAGGAAGAGTGTTGAGCAGAGCCGGTTCCGTAGGAGTGAAGGCAGCTACACGCCAGCAAGGCTTGATCACGTCCAATATTTTTATTCATACTACGATGTAAATGCAAAGTGAAATAAAGACTAGTGGAGCTGTAAATAATAAGGACAAAAAGAAGTCATATGCCACAAGTTGTGTTACTTGGTAAACGCAATCCCCTTAAATACAGCAGGTGTTAAAATAAGGTGAATGCAGAATTGTGCRTCCAAATAGTACAGCCAATACCTCAGAAGAGGGAGCTGTGTTTCAGAGAGTACTGTCTTTAACAAGGAACTAGAGGTCAGTATAAAAGTTAATGCATTATGAACAGGCAGAAAATCTTTGTTCTGCAAAGGAGATAATTTTCAGACTAATTAAACTAGGAAATGGTTTGGAATTTTCCCAGAAAGAGAAATGTTTATGCATTTACATATAAAAGTGCACTTATATTATCAATATAGTTTCATTGTTTTCATTGGTAGTATAGGCAAAGTTAACATTCTCTCCCTGACCTCTGTGCCGCAACCAACAGAAATTAAAAATCAGAAATCAGAAATTGCTGTTAGCTTCACATAGTGTGAGTACATTCCTGTTCACYTATTAACAAAGGCATGAATGTTTGTGTTTCTCCCCATTCACTTATTTTCTTTCATTCCATAAAGTCATAAATTGCAGCTAATAGATCTTCTGGCTGAAATT